ATATGTATTGAGCTGCACTGCTATAAAGATGGGTATCCATTTTCAGTGACCGTGTGTCCATGAGCTGCCACCTCCCCATGTCCTCATGCTCCACCCTCCCTCCCCATGACTCCCTCTGCCACAGTCTTTGTCTTGTTCAAGTGCAACCACCCACCCACCTACTTTTCAGGAAACTGGGAATGTGGTCCTGCATCCTGTCCTTCCACCCCATCTGTCACTGGGTGCTCCCCACTGAGACTCATGTCCTTTGAATGTCCTTTCATCACCTTCAAAGTGGCCTTTGAAAGGACCGATCCAATCATGGTTTTCCACAGTGAGATGCTGTCTGTGGAGCTACGCTTTCTGCAGAGACAAGTTCACATCCCTCGGGGTGACGAACATGTTGAGCTCACCCATGTGGCCCCAGCCCTGGCTGGATCTTGCTCTCTAGTGGTTATGCATGCCACCTTGATCTCTAGGTTGTCACACCAAGACTTCTGGGTTCCAGGGCCTCTGGACTCAGCAGCCTTTCCCTGTGAGGCTCTTCCTAACCGTTCTAGGCCCAGTCACCAAGAGAGGCCCGTCTCCATGAATAAATTCAAGGACCTACAGCTTGAAAGGCATTCCTGATCAGCTGCCCCAGGACATTCCCACCTGGTAGGGTGGGTGCTCCTTTGGTCCTGTGGCTTCTTGCCTGTAATAGGCTCTTGCTTTTATCCACACATGTACCTGTCTGGAAGACAGGGAAGCTCTGTGGTCAGGAACAGCATCCTACAGCCTTTGCAGCTCCATGTGGAGTAACAGTATGTGAAGGGGAAGTGGCTGGTCCATGATGATTTGTATGGAAACATAGTTACTCCGTCATCCCCCTCTTTTGAGAGTTTGCTTTTCATGTTTCACTACTGCAAACAATATCATGATATTTATCACTGGAGGGGATGCTTTTCCACATCTTGCATCTTCTGTGAGCAAGGTCTCAGAGTGTCACTATTGGGTACAAGAGCTGGGAGTGTGTCCAAGCACTATGTCTGGGTTCTATGTCTGCCTGTCTCCTTTCGTCCTCTGGGAGTAGAAGTCATTCTCCCTGTCTTTGCTCACTTGATAGGTAAAAGCAATTTCTCACTGTTTCTTTACTCGGCATTTCTTTGATTGCTGAGAAGTTGAACGTTTCCCAAACGTTTCTTAGCCATTCTTCTGTAAACTGTCTCAACAGCTTGTTACTCCGTAGTTATATTCAGTCCCTGGGGAGCAAGAGGACTCACTGGGCTTTTCAGATGTCTCACTTGTGCTGACTCAGGCAGGACCTGTCAGTGCTGTGGAGCGTGCGGTATGGACCTCAGGCAAGCTCTGGCTCTCCCAGGGCCCCATCCTACGGCCTGTTTCCCTGTGGCCCTCACGTGGGTGACTCCTGTGTGCCTGAACGCTGCAACTAACCTGGACTGAGCTCTTGGTATTCCTCAGTTGCTTCCTAGGTGCTATAGGGCTGTGAGTCACCCACACTGGGTGCAGGAACCGCCCACTCTCCTTGGTGTGCTGCTGGCTTTCGGACACTCTTGGCTCTGCTTCTTCCCATTCCTGAAAGGTCATCAGCTCTTGGCTCCCCAGCCCTTGCTTCAAGCCCTCTAAACCTCTCTGAGCTGAGATCTGACTTCCATGGTCTCTGCTGAAACTCTGCTCCCCTGGGGTGTTACCATCCACTGTGATGAAGGCCGGAGTCTCAGTCCCTTCAGGCCTGGTGATCAGAAGGCTGGCACTCCTGCCATGCTGCTGGTTTCATTTTGGCATGCCTGACACCCTGTTGTCCAGCATGGGCTGTAGAGTCCATAGACTCGGGTGGGAATCCTGCTCCTCCACTTCCTTGCCTTGGGGCCAGGAGCAAGTTATCAGCTCTCTCTTAGCCTCAGGTTTCCCCTTCTGTAAAGTGGGCAGAAGGGCTCACTATGGAGGGGAAAGGTGGGAATCAGTATACCTGCTCCCACTGTGCCCATCATGGGCATGCTCGCAGTGAGGGCTGGGTGCCACTGGCATCAATGTCACCAAGTGATGTCACATCAGCATGAGTGCCTCAAGTACTGGTGTGAGACCCTACACAGTTTGTACACATGCTGCAACCTCTATTCCCATCACTCACTCCCCTCCATCCATTCTTGCCTATCCCACCTAAGGGGGTTGATTCTCATGGCTGGTGTTTTCAGTGGGCACAGCACTGGCAAGGAACCAGCTTGCACCAAGGGGAAAGGGGCTGTCTGAAGGACTGGTGCCCACTGACACCTGCCAAGGGGTACCATGTCACCATGGGGTGATGGTGCACACTCACACATGCACGTCATGCATTTCGCCTCACTGCACACACTCCCCACAGCACACATACTACATGTACATGCCCTACACCTACTCACATGTACATACATGCAGGAAGACATTGCACACATACTATAAACACACAAATACCCTCTCATATCACACACATCTTATACATACACACCACACACATGCACACATACAGAGATACCACAAACACACAACCACCCTCACATCACATACACCCCATACACACCCTGTATACTATAAACACACAAATACCCTCTCATATCACACACACCTTATACATACACACCACACACATGCACACATACAGAGATATAAAACACACAACCACCCTCACATCACATACACCCCATACACACCCTGTATACCCCACCCCCCATCAACACACAAGTGTAGACCCAACACACGCATACACAGAGAGAAAACTGGAGCCCACAGACACTGTGCACGCTGGTCTTTTCTTCCTGGTTTTAGCATGGAACAGATGGTCTGTGGATAATGTTTTTCTTTCTCAAAATATAAAATTGGCTTTGTGCAAAGCCTCATTAACTCAAGAGACCTATTGATAGAATCCCAGTTTTTATGAATGCTGTAATTAGTGAAGTGGAGAGTCCCTCACCCCCATGGCCTCAAGTTGAGGACATCACCAGAGTTATTTAGCCAGCTTTCCTGTGCAGTGGGAGAAAGGGAGGTGTCAAAGGGAGGGTCCTGTGCGGTTGCTACAGTCATGTTCCAGGAAATGGGATCTTACATGAGACAGTACTACCAGGGCAAACTAGGCTGTATAGAGATTAAGGGTAAAGGGTAGAGTCCACAGGGCAGAGCCTGATTTGGAGATCCCTGGCTATTTGCTGTCCCATTTGTTGTAAGATCACTTGGGGGACAGATCTGTAAAAGGGGAATCAGAACAGGGTAGTGGCAGCTAATCTTACCCGAAGCCCTGCTTCTACCCGCTGGCATTCCTGGGAATACTTTGGGTTCTCCCTATGGACCAAACTCCTAGGCTTCCTGTCTGTCAGCTAAGCTTAGGTTTCTGAAGCACAGTTCATTAACAAGTGCTAACGGGGAGGACCTGAATCCCCAGGACTAATCACAACCCCATTAATCACAGGCAAGCAGCCTCTCCATGCAGGAAAGGAGGGCTTAGTGGCTGTGGAAGGCTGTGGAAATGGCATCACTTTATGTGTTTCTGTCTTCATCTGTCTCTTCCCCACTGCAGGCCAGCAGAAGGTTGTGCAAACAGCCAGTTTGAGTCCTGCCCACCAGGCCCCATGGAAGCCTCTCAGCTGGAATCAGAGACTGTCATACTCAGAAAACGAGTTGTTTGCACCCAAGGTGCAGGATGGTGTGGGAGACCTGCTGAGCGTGTCGCTGGAGAACTTCAGCTCTAATGGCACCAAGGAGATTGGGGTAGAAGCAGTCAGAGGCAGGTGGGTTTCCTCTGTTCTCTGAGCCCACCTAACCAGAAACTGGTGTGCTGAGCCATCTGCACTTGAACCAACTGTTTAAAGGGTGTCAGACACCTAAGGAAAGGAGACATTCATTGGGTTGCTTCCAGCCAAGTCCAGAGATTACAGAAGCCTGGCCATGGGATGGGTTAAGCCAAGCACTGTAGGGACAACCTTACCCTCCTACCATGTTGCTCTTTCCTAGTGGTAAAGAAACAACTAGATGATAACAAAAAACGGAAGACAACAATGTGAACAAATTACATTAAGCCCATTCAGCTTTCTCATAAGCCAGGTACTGTTCTACCCACTTGTACACATCAACTAATTTGACTTGTAAGACCCTTTTGTCTTAGTTACCTTTTCTTGTAGCTGAAACAAAATATATGACACCGAAAGTTAAGGGAGAAAATGTTTATTTGGCTCACAATTTGTAAAGGTTTCTATGCATAAGTGGCTGGCTCCAAGGCAGGATGGCACGGCAGACAGGCATGGCAGAGGAGAAATAGTTCATGGCAGGAAGAAGGTAGCAAAGCAAGCAAGCCAAAGTGACAATAGCAGCTTTTATATTCTGTCCCTTTTGTATTCTTCCAAGGATATTCAGTTTAGGATGATGCCAAACCAATCAGTGGGCTGATTTAGTAATCACACACCCTTAATCCCAGCATCACACACTCTAGATCCAGCCACCTCTGAAAAGACACACCCCATGACTGCATGAGGCTTTGAGGGGACATCTAGATACAAACCATAACACCTGTGAAGTATTTTCATTGTTCTCCCCACTTTACAGGAGGGAAAACTAAGAGGGCAGGACTCAAAGACACTCAAATAACTTCTGCCATGAAGCTGTGCTCCCTTTCCTTTTTGTGGGTGACTTTTCTTTCAAACTTCCATGTGAAAATAGTGAGCTTATAAATGCAACTTTTCATTGTAAAACCATGATCCATACATTTAAAAATAGCCTGGAACTTGGATTACACTTACATTGAAAGTTATATAAATAGCACAGACTCCCAGGCAGAACATGGCTAGCGAGGGTTGCTGCTGCAGGAGCTGGGATGAATTGTACATTTGCTTCAGTAACAAGGTATTGATGATTGATCTGAACTCATATATATAATATCTATATATAGATTATATATAATTATAATTATATATAAAATTATATCTATATTATATTATATCTATGGTGAGGGTAATTCTTAGGAAATTATTACCCAAATTCTGTTAGTGCAAATGTACATCCCAATGCAGTGAAAGTCAATCAATAACAGGGAACAAAACCTGTGCATCTGTTGCTGTACCCTAAAGTGTACAGTGGCATAAAGCAGTGTGTTAGTGTCTTAGTCACTCTCCTCATCACTGAGACACAGTACCTGATACCTCACATTCAACTCATGGCAGCCAGGAAGCAGAGAACATGAAGGGGTGAGTTGGGAAGGGAGCCAAATCCTTTTAGGCCACGCCACCAATGACTTGCCTCTTTCAACCAAGCCACACCTCTTAACCACACATTTAACTATAAACTCATCAGTGGACCAATCAATATATGATCCAATCACCTCCCAAAAGGCCCACCTATGATTGTATGAGGCTTTAGGGGAAGATCCACATGTAAATCATCATAGCTAGGTTTTTGTTACTGGGGTCAGATACTGAGATAAACAATTTAAAGAAGGAAAGGTTTGTTTTGGCTCATAATGTCAGAGAGTTCAGTCCATGGTCAGTTGGTGCCATTGTTTCTGGGCTGTGTTGAGGCAGCATGTCATGGTGGAAAGGCATGGCAGAGGAAAGCTGTTCACCTCATGGCAGCTAGGAAATGGAGAGTGAGGAAAAGAGCCAGAGATGCAGGGCCTGGGACAAAATGTACCTTTCCAGAGCATGACCCCAGTGACCTACTTCCTCCAAGTGCACCCCACTTCCTAATGGCCCATTCAGCTGTGAACTCATCAATGAACTAATCTTTTGGTAAGGTCAGCACCTTCATGATACAACCATCACTGTAGGCCCCACTTCTATGCATTGCTATCTTAGGGATCAGTCCCTCAATGGTTGAACTTTTGAGGGTCATTTCAGATCCAAACAAAACCAGACAACAATCACTTCACTATTGTGTTTCACAATTATCTTGGCTGAAAAATCAGGCAGAGCTTTGTTGAGGGTTTCTTCTACTTCTTTTGGTACTGGCCAGGATCACGATGGTCCTTGGTGGATGCTGGGTGCTATGTGGGTTTGGAAGATCGGAGATACCTGTCCTTGTATGCCCAGCCCCTCACTGTGGGAGGCTGGGATGTGGAGAGTGCTGGGTCCTCCATGTAGTATCTCCATGTAGTAAGGTTTCACAGGGTAGCTCTGGCTTTGAGAGCCCAGGAAAAGGTTGTAAGTCCTCTCAAAGTGTAGGCCTGGAGCTAGCATGTGTCAATTTGACACACTCTTGATTAACTTTGTTCCAGGTTGGCACAGATGTAAAGCAAGCAGAAATGGCCTCTACCTCCTCATGAGGGAATGTGAAAGGGTCTGTGGCCAATTTTCATCTTTCATCTAAACTAATAGCACTATGTTGTTCCAAAGGCACCTATGACTGACTCAAGGCCACTGTGTTAGCCTTTTGTTACTGTAACAAAATACCTGAGGTAATCAACTTAAAAAGAGGTAAGGTTTAGTTTGGCTCAGTTTTGAAGGTTTCAGTTTATAGTTGGTCCTCTTACTTTGGGTCTGTGGTGAGGCAGTACATCATGGCAGAAGTGTGTGGTAAATGAGCCCCCTTTCACATCATAGAGGTCAGGAAGGGCAGAAAGGAAGAGAAAGTGGCAAGAGTCCCAACATATGCTGCATGTCCACACCCCCAGTGACCTCACTTCTTCCCAAGGCCCTGCCTCTTAACAGTCCACCACCTCCAATAGTGCCATAGGCTGGGGGCCAAGCTTTTAACCATGGCTTTGGAAACATATCCAATCCTAGAAGCCACCTGGAGAAATGCATTGAAAGCAAAGCTTCCTCCCTGAGGATGGTGGGATTTCTAGGGGTCACGCAGAGTCAGAGCTTTGCAGCCTGCTTGGCAATGACCTTCCCACCAGGATGCAAATTGAGAGTCCTTGTAAGTTCTCTAGCTGCTCCACCTTCCATTTATGTGTTTTAGTATATCAGTGTCCACCTTTATTAACTCACTCCAGAGGTTACTAGGAACCTTTAGATGAAAAGGGAAACTGAGGACTTGCCTTTGAGTTTTGGACACCTTGGAAGACCCGCAGCAGCACAGCCTGGGATAATGACTTAGTTTGGGTGGGTTTGGGAGTGAGTACAGAGTGAGCCGGGGAAGAGAAAGTCACTACAGGGTGGGGTCATCAGAGTAGCTGTCAAGGGCAACCAGGGCTCTGTTCCACTGAGAAGCTGCAGAAGCTCCCCATGTTTTTCTGTCACAGGACAGGTGGGTAGGTGCTTTGCACTTGCTCCCAGCCCCACTGGTCGAAGGTCATCTGTGGGAGGATGGGCTCCCTCATATTTTGGGTAAGGTTGGAGGTGGGGAGTCTCACAAGATGTACAGGAAACTTGAGGACAGAAAGAGAGGAACACTGTCAGGGTGAGCTGAGCCTGGCCCCGCATGCTGCCCACCATGTCTGTGGCTGAAGTCTGCAGTGGGTAAGAGTGACGAGAGTGCCCATGGGACACTGCCAACCTTGGTGAGCTGGATGAGACATTCAGTGTTTCTGCTGTGGCTCAGCTGAGGTCCCTCCAGCCTAGGTTGTGGAGTGATCCTGCTGCCACTGGAGCCCACTTACATTACTTACCCAAATGACTAGTGCTGTGTGGTCCTCAGCAAAGTGTTCAGTGTGTCTATACCTCAGTTTCCCCACCCCTCTAGGGGTGTTAGCAGCCTTCAGCTGTGGGAATGAAACTGTCACAAGTGCTGAGTATTGGCTGAGTCTGTGGTTGATGCCCTTTCTCTGGTCTTGAAGGGAAATGGTGGGACATCGGCCCTTGAGAGTGAGGCCTGGGGAAGGTTGTTTGGGGATGTGACATCAGATCTTCTCTAAAGAGTAAAATTTGGGCTCAGTGAGAGCAAGGAGAGGAACCCCTGTTAGTCCACTGGAAAGAATAGTTAAGCAGCAGCTTCATGCCAGCCCTGGGCCAGGTGCAAGGATTCAGCCAGGAGTAGAACAGACATGCGCCTTGGCTCATGGTACTCATGTGCAGCAGAGGTGCCCATACAGGATGGTGTGGGAAAGAGTGTCATTCTGGTGGCTTGGCAGTTGAGAAGGGTGACCAGAGAGGGCTGCAGCTGGGATGGGAAGGGTGGGACAGCCTCCCCATCTGCAGGCGGGGTCCCCACCGCCAGCACCATTGCTTACTTAGCACCTCTCAGAAGAGAGGCCAGCAGACGACAACCCTGATGTATAGCCCCTGCCCCTGCAGAAGTCAGCCACTGCTTTCTGTCACTGCTTTCAGAAGGCTTTTTTGACTGGCCAGCAAAGAGCTAGCTCCTCCACATGCTGGCTGCATTTGGGCAGTGCTGCATCCCCTCCATGCTGATATACTACTTGCTTTCATCTGCCTGCTCTGCTCAGCACTGAGACTCCCAAGGGAGCAGCAGATGAGCTGTCTCCCCAGCTGTGAGGCTGAGTGTGGAGGTTTCCATGAAATGGACTTTTTAAGAAAAGGCTTGCATTAAAGGAAATTTTAAATTGTGGTAAAATACCCAAACCATAACATGTACCATCATAGGCATTTGTAAGCATCCACTCAGTGGCATTCAGTCCACGCACCTTATTGTACAACTGTCAACACTGTGCAGCCACAGAACCCTCTCCAGCTTCCCGAGCTGCAACTCTGCCCCGTGCAGCACCTACTCCCTGTTCCACCTTTGCCTAGCCCTGACGGCTGCCATCTATTTCCTGTCTACATATGTGACTACTGTAGGCACCTCCTACATGTGGGCCCATGTATCACTTGTGCTTTGGTGACCTGAAGTAAATGGCCTTTAAACAGCTGTGGGGGCTTGTGTGGCACAGATCACCTGAGCCACTGAAACCTGGGGCAGAGAAGCCCTTCCTTTCCTTCAGAGACCACACATCCTCAGCTCCTCCCATGCTGCTGGGTTTCTCCTGCCTTTGAACCCACCAAGTTCCTCCTGCCCAGCAATCCCTCTGAATAGCACCAGGCTCCCTGCCAGGAGCTCCTGGTATCACTGCTTTAGGGTATGCTGAGGGATCCAAGGATCCCAGACTAGCATACCTTACTGTGGTCCAGCTATCTAGCCTATGGCTGGGTGTTGGGGACACTCTGAGTGGTGGTCTTCTCAGGTGGTTGGTCATCCAGCTGGATATCAAGACTCTGAGTACCCATAGCTTTGCATCTGTTTTCTGAAGGTATATTATCACTGTGCAGAGCTGACCCTAGGAGTGAGGCATGGTCACAATTATAACCTTCATTCTCTGAGTGCCTGGAACAATCTTTGCTTGCTAGAATGTTGTGTGTATTAGTCTGTTTTCTGTTGCTATAACAAATTAATGCAGGCTCAGTATCTTATAAAGAAAGGGACTGTCCAACCAGCATGGTGCTGGCTCTAGTGGGATACCATTTCTCATGGCAGGTGGCACTGTAGTGACAAAGCATGTGAGAAGGATAGATCTCACGGTGAGACAGGAATCTGGAGACAGAGATGAGGGACTGAGGTCCTTCAGAACTGCATGATCCCTTCTGAGGCCATGACCCTCCACCTCTAGGCCCCCACCTTTTAATGGTTCCACCACCTCCCAAAACCACCACACTGAGACCAATCTTCTAATGCATGAAACCCTGGGGGACAAATACCTCCAAACCCCAGCACTTGCAGCAAAGGCTGGGGGGAGCCTACAGAAACACTTCCTGATTGCAGTGTGTGTGATTGGGACATCCAACTCGAATGGCTGCAGTGGTCACACAGGTAAGTGACTGTGTGCGGCCCTCGGAAAGACAGCACATGGAGGGTGGTGGGGCATGGCCAATGCTGCAAAGGGCCTTCTTCTAACAGCAAGGACAAACCACAGAACACCAGGATCCATGGGGAATGCTGGTATGTTACACTTACCACCTGGTTTTGGTGCCGTGACACCTGGTTTCCCAGGAAGACAATTCCTAGTCTATGACGGAGCAAATGGGGTCTTCAGCAGCCACATATCCAACCCAAAGGTGGAGCGTGGGAGGTTATCATGAAGTCTGTGTGGATTCACAGGCAGAAAGATCTTTCTGGTGGCTCCTGATAGCTAAATGAGGTTTCCGAGGGGTCTGTCCATGGATCTGGCCCAAACCTGCCTTCCCCAGGCCACCACCTATACTCAGAAACACCAGTGGAGCTGCTTTCTAGGGACGCTTCATCTCACCTTATCCTTTTCCCCACAGCCCCTGCACTGGCCAGGAGCATCAGGACAGTGCCTGTTTGATCCAGAAGCCAACGACTTGTGACCTTCTTTGGGGGCCACTTGTTCAGAGCATGTGCCCAGGTAATTACCATGGCCAGGTTGGGGTAGAAGAAGCCTTACTTGTGATGATTGTTGCAATCTTTTGCCACCACTTCATTTTCCTTCTCAATATTCACAATCTTTTCATTTTCTTAAATGATTCCCCAAACTGCTAGTGTGTGGGAGGAGCTTTTCCCGTCTACATCTGGCTTTGGTTGGGTTAGCTTCAGTGAAGCGCTTTCCAGGACCAAGATGGAGTGGTGTGTTCAGAAAAATGCACCAAGGCTTTTGGTTCTGCCTCTTTAGTCTCCAAAACACACACACAGGGCAGGCAGGACTCCACCTGCAAGTACCCAGCTGGCTATAGACAGAGATTTTACACCTAGGGGGAGTTTTATGCATGAGGCCTGGGGGCTGGATCTGGAAGAGCACCAGGCCTCTCTCCTTTGTTGACTCTGCCAGGCTCCTCCTTGCTTGCTGGGGGAGGCAAAGATGTGGGACAACTGTTGTGGTGGGCCACCACTGGGGGGTTCCCATGTGACAAGCATCAGGGCGTACCACCTGTGGCTCCAGCTGGCAGGGAACGGCCATAGGGCTCTGCTATGGGTCTCTTCCAAGACCCAAGTTAGGAAAGTGCTCTTGGGGGCTGGAGCAGGGCTGCCAGTCCCTATCCCCCTCTGACTGTTAGGGGGCCATGTTAGCCAACTTTCAATTATTCTAACAGATACCTGAGCTAAATCAGCTTATAAAGACTTTACTTTGGTTCATGGTCTCAGAGGTTTCCGTTTGTGGTTACTTGGCCCTGTTGCTTTGGGCGTACAGTGGCATAAAATATCATGGTGGAGGGGATCTCTTCACCTCATGGCGGCCAGGAAGAAAAGAGAGAAATAGAAAAGGGCCAGGGACCCCAAATCCCCTCCAAGGGCACCTCCCACCATGACCTAACTTCCTCCCACTTGGCGTCACCCCCTAGAGATTTCCCACCTCCCAGGAGTCCACAGGCTGGGGACTAAGTGTGCGTCACAAGGGCCCGGGGAGGACCCTCCAGTCCCAAATGTGGCAAGGCCCAAGAGGCGAGGGTTGTGCTGCCTCATCGCTGAGCTTTGGCTTTAGTCGTCACTGCCACCAATTAAGTCACAAGGCAGGAAAACTAAGCTATACTAAGTCATGTAGAAACAGACTCACGTCCCACCCCTGCCTGGCCTCTGCTCTCACAGCTGACTTTAACTGCTCTGACCCGTGAAGCTCAGGGATTCCTTTCCAGTGTGGTGGGAGAGTAAATGGGAGCTACTTTTGCTTTCAGGGTTGTGTGTGTGTGTGTGTGTGTGTGTGTGTGTGTGTGTGTGGTGTGCACATGTGTGAAATCTGGTCTCCTCCTTTTCTATTGGGGGGGATGGGACACAACATAGTGGTGTGATTCCCCCTCCAGGGTCACAGAAGAACCGGAGAGAGAGCTTCATCCCTGAGCTGGGTCGGGAACTCGTGCACGTGGCGCTGAGGCGTGACCCACACCGTGGCTTTGGTAGGAGCCCCCGCGGGTGAGCCCAGCCTTTCACAGCTGGCAGAGGGACAGCTATGTGCAGCTCTCTCTCCGCTGACTTTTCTGCTCCCCTTTGCCTGCCTCTCCTCTCCAAGTTTGCCTTTGTCAGTGATCACTTCCTTTTCCTGTCTTCAAGAATCCCTAAAGAGCAATGGGACTTTGGGGTTAAAGATCTCCTTGTCTGAAGTGTCCTCAGGGTGTATCTAAGCACAGGATAGAAAAAGATTTCCCCTAATGCTGCACCACAACCTTTCTTAGATTCTCAGTGGTGGGGAGGAACGGCCAATATTTCTTACCTTTTGTTATTGATCTTATTTTAAGACCCTTAAAGCCATATAAGAATAAAGTCCAGACACAGGGTCCTTGATTTGAAATCATCTCTGTCCTGTCTCTGGTTGTCAGCTAGAGCAAATCTAGTGTACATTGGTGGCCTGTGTTTCCAGCGTCAGCTGCGATAGCTGAAAAGAGAGAGCCCTTTTCTCCTCCCCATGTGCTGCACCCAGGTCCAAATATCAACAGTGCCACTTGCTCGCTGTGTGAGCCCCAGCAAACAACCTAAGCTCTCTGACCTACAAAGTCATTAAAATGCCATCTTGGATTACAGGTTTTGTTATTAATGAGGGAGAAGATGTAGGCCAAGCGAGTCCTGGCATTTTTATATCTTCTATTATACCTGGAGGACCAGCAGCAAAAACTAAGAAGATCAAACCAGGTACATTTTTGATGAACTGGCCCGAGATGCTGTTTTCAGGATGCATGCTTTCCTGTTTCCTTGATGGGACCTCTGAGATGTTTTCTTTTTCCAGGAGGGCAGATCCTAGCCTTAAACCACATCAGCCTGGAGGGCTTCACATTCACCATGGCGGTTAGAATGATTCAGAATTCTCCTGACCACATAGAGCTCACCATTTCTCAGGCAGAAGGTACGTGTCCACCTGCTTTCAGAAGTTGAAGGCCTCCTCTCTTCTGGGAGGTACTGAATACCAAAGGCTGCGTGGCCTTTGCTGCTGTCCTAATGGTGGTGGCCTGCAAAGAGCCAGTGTAGCAGTACAAATCAGTAAGCTCTGTGATTTTGGGGCCAGGGCGGGCCCTGCTTCTGCTTACTGATAGGGGGCCATCACTCTGCTTCCTTATTAGCATCCTGTGCTTTTCTACCCTCTTCTCATGTGAGAGGGAGGACATTCCTGTGTCACTCAAAGGCTTATTGAAAGTAGCTGCTCTAAGGCTTCTTGTGGCCTTACCTGTGGCCTTGCCTTTTAGTATGTGGGCAGATCTTCTCCAGAGGATACCCTATGGCTCTCATAGCACTGGCCTCAGGGTCACTGTCTCTGTTGGATGTCACAGCATTGCCACTTCTTCCCAAGGCAGTTCAGCAATCCTTGAATTTTCTTCCACATTCTCTGCAGAGAGAGGCACTCAGGCCTTCTCTTCAGTTGTCCAGAAACAGAATGCAGATGATTAAATATCAATCTAGGTAGTCCAAGGATGGCTTGCTGTGCTGGAGAGTGTATGCGTGCATGTGTGTGTGTGTGTGTGTGTGTGTGTGTGTGTGTGTGTGTGTGTGCAGATGGGTGTGTAAAATATTGGCACTCAAAGTCTGCAATGTTTAGACCACAGCCTCACAACAGAATCCAGACAATGTGTCCTTTAATGTGATAGTTTAGATCTAAAATGTCCCCCAAAAGTCTCATGTGAAAGTTGACTGGATCATGGGGGTGCTGTGCTCATCAGTGGGTTCATCCATGCATGAGCTCATAGCTGAATGTGCTATCAAGAGGTGGGGCCTGGCTGGAGGTGGTCACTGGGAGCTTAACCTGGAAAGGTGTATTCTTGTCCCTAGCTGGCTACTCCCTTCTCTCTCTCTCTCTGTCTCTCTCTTTCTCTCTGTCTCTGTCTCTCTGTCTCTGTCTCTGTCTCTCTGTCTCTGTCTCTGTCTCTCTCTCTTTCTCTCTCTTTTTCTCTCTCTTACTCTCTGTCTCTCTCTCAGCTTTCTGGCTGCTTTGGGTTGAACAGCTTTCCTCTTCCAGTCCCTTCCACCATGCTGTTTTGGCTTTGGAGCCAGCTAACCATGGACTGAACCCGTGAGCCAAAGTAAACTTCTTCTTTAAGTTGTGGGTGTCAGGTATCAGTGATGGAAAAGTGACTAAGATACCCATAATGTTTAGGAATTATGTGTCCTCTCACTGCAGGGCCCCAATCATCTGTTGGGAATGTGGTTCTTGTCACAATGAGTGTTCCTTCTGCAGTGGGCCCATTGATAGAGGAAGAGGTTTACATAGTGACACTGGCTGGATCTCCTGGGCACAGACTTGATCACTATGAATTTCTATCTGCTCAGGCTGCTGTTGAGGCAACCAGTGCAACCTGAGTGGGATTTTTCATTATGTTTTTTTCAGTACTGGGGATCAAACCCAAGAGTGCCCTGCCACTAAACTGCCTGGGCTATCTTTAAACTTGAGATCCTCCTGCCAAGGGCCTATGATTACAGGTATGCACTGCTCTGCTGGCATAAATTGAGTTTCAGTCACCCACAGGAGATCACCTAGCCTGTGCTTCCATCAGACAGGACACAGTGGTGCAGCCTGGCTTTCAGTTCAGTCATAAGTCTTATCCTTATCTCTTGTGGAGGGTGTGGAAAGAGATGAATAGATGCTTACAATACTGCCAGAAGGAAAATGACTGTAGATTTTGAAAGAAGTGGCCAGGATTCTAGCATTTCCTCTCATTACTGAATACCTTTAGATCTGAATAACTCAAAGCCAAATCCATTAAATCAAATTCATTCAAATTAAATTCATTCAATATGTGAGTTTGGGCATTTCCCTGGGTGCTGATGAGTCTATGTCAAAGTAGAGAATCTACCTGTACATTTATATATTCAGGTCTAAAGAAACCCTAACTCTCGTGTCTTCCTCCCATGTATGTTTGTTGAGCATCTATTATTAATACATTAATAGTAAATACCTTATTTTTCATATGTACTAAGCTACTTATGCATATGGGTATATATAATGCATGCGTATATATATATACACACACATAGACACATTTTTATCTTTCTTTCTACATATATAAAACCCTCTCTGACTCTATAAATAATCCTGAAGACTTACTAATCCTACAATATTATTGGTAATGATTAATCTCTATTTTAGATATAAGGAAGTTGTCCAAGGTTTTGCCCATGGATTCCCCACTTCCTGTTCTTCTTTCCATTCTGTGCTGGGTCCAGGCTTACTGGGCTGCACAGGAATCGGTGACCCAGCCTCCACGCACACGTGCCACTGTCTGGTTATCACCAAGCCCCCCGAGGTCCCTGCATGCTGGTCTCTGGGTCACATGCTGTTTGTGGCTATGCACAGCGGGGTCTTTGGGAGAGGGCAGGGCTAAGAGCAGTGCTGTGTGCTGGTCATGGACTGGGGACAGGATGCCTCCACCTTGAGACTGTGCTTTCTCTTCTCTGAGCTGGGATGACACTTTCCTGGGATCTTTTGAGAAAGCAGAAAGATCTTTCTTCTCTCTCCATCTCTTTCTCCCATCATGTGACAGTGCTCACTAAGGGCAGCTGGCATCGTTTGCTCTCCTTGCTCATGTGGTTTCATAGTTGATCACACAAGTGGCCTCCATTTCTGTTTCTGAATCACTTGCAGAACCTTCCCTTTCTCCATTCCAAATGTGGTGCCCTTCATGAGGTGTTAAGTTCACACCACCACCCACACCTATGAAGGGATTCTCTGTCCCCAAAGGAAAACTGTCGCCATACAGAGATAGCACCGCGATGCCAGCCTTGCCAAGCTGTTGACCTCTTCTCGGCTTGCTTCACAGGTGTTTGTGGAAATGCCCCCAGGGAAGGAAAGGACAGCATGGCCATTTCTGGCGTCTTCTCTACAGACATCCTGAGTGCCGGGCACCCGGGCAGATTGTCACCACACACATACAACCAGCACAGAGACCCTGAGGAGCAGGAAACGGCCCAAGCACAGAGCCCCACACCCCAGCAGAGGCCTCCATGCTCGCCTCTGCCAGTGAAGGTAACTGTTCCTTGGTCCACTTCCTGGAATTTAGAGTGTCTCCCCCAGGTCCTGTGCTCTCTGTGTGCCATGTCACTAGAGGTCACTCAGTCCCTCTGACCCTCAGTCTCTTCATCTGCACAATGGAAATAGGTGCTTGCCCTGCATGGTTGTTGTGGGGGTGCCTGGGCCCCTGGCTCAGTGTTGGGCCCCTGGCAGTGTCGGGGACCAGCTCCCTGCACCACTAGTTAGAATGGTTATGGAGACAACAGCAGGAAGTGGGTGGCTGTCTGGGCTGGGTGCAGGCAATCAGGTGTCCCATGATCTTGGCCTCTAACTGTCGCCAAGTTGGCACTCAGAGGCTCTGCTCTTGACTGAGAGCCTGGGGAGGAAGAAGATTCAGTCTGGCCCTGGCGAACTGAGAGTCCCGCACTTCAGGCCCAGCTCCCCCTACCCTCACTGTCTGTCTCCTTAGAGTCTCCAGTGGCCCACAGACCATGCTGTAGCCCCTCCCATTTGCTTTGGGTCCCTGTCACTGACAGTTATGGTCCATGTCACTCTCTGTTCCTGCTGAGGCCTGGCTGGAGACCGCAGTGGGGCACAAATGGGGACAAGCTTATTGCCTCTCTGTGTTGACACAGGTTGGCTGTCCCTCTGCCAGCAGCACAGCTCCTACCAGGCTCCCTGGCCCTGTTGTCCATTCCTGCTCATGCCCCAGGCTCAGGTGGTACAAGCCCTAGTGTTTACTGGCTTCTTGCTGGTTCCTAGAGCCTGCCAGCTCCTCTGAAGTTGGTGGGTATTTGCCTGGTGCAGAGGTCAACAGAGCATGTAGGGCTGACGTTTGGTGCTTACCATGTGCCTGGTAGTGCATTGGCCCACCATGTGCTCTTAAGGAGGCTCCTCCAAGCCTGTGTAAACCTGTTCACCCGCCAGCCCTTTTATATGTGCAGTGTCTGAGGCATAGGGTCAAAAGTGTCATGCTACAGTCCACAAGAAGTTTATGGTAGAGTTGGGGCTGAAGTCTGAGGTGTTGGGGTCACAGCTGACACTTGCTTCCCAGACGACTCCCTGTGAGGCTCCTTTGGTATGACACAGGGCAGAGAGGGCCTCTGTGCCTCTGCAAGCTGGCTTCTGGGGCCAGCAGAGAGGGGCACAGAGAAGGGTGTAGTGGCTTTTCCACGCCACAGAAGGCCGTGGTACACACTGCCAGACCCATGTATTCCAGCTTCCTCTAGATCTCTTGGCCAGCTTTGTGTCCTGTAATCTCTGCCTTGAACTAGTGATCACTTGGCCTGGCACTCAGATGCTGGCTTGCTCCTTCCCACCCTGAGCTTTTGCCTCAGCCACGTCTGGCTTTACATTTCACTGTCCCTTTTCCTGGCTGCTTGTACTTGTGTCCCTGAGCCTCCAGACCATCACATTCATACTTTTTATCATGTAGCTATGGGTTAATTTGTTGGCAATCTCTTTGTTAAAAATCTCTACCCTGCTAGGCCTGTGTCATTGCTGCCATCTCCCCAGCAACTTGCATAACACCTATGTCTTAGTCCATTTCTTGTTACTATAACAGAATGCCATGGACTGGGTAAATGGTCAGGGAAAGGGAGAAAGAGGAAGAAGAAAAGGGGAACAGATGAATTCTCTCTTTTTACATATAACTCACTCCCAAAATAATTTATCATGCAGATTGTGCCTTCATGATCTAATGATCCCTAAGGTCTCTCATGATGGTATTAACTGTCATGATTGTCATTCAATTTCTTTTTTTTTTTTTTTTTTCTGGTACTGGGAATCGAATTCATGACCTTGCACTTGCCAGGCAGGCACTGTGCCGCTGAGCTAAATCCCCAGCCCCACCATTCAATTTCATTAGGAGTTTGCAAGGGGACATTCAAAAATAGCATCCTGGCACATGATAGCTGCTCAATAAATGCTGCTGCATGATTGGATGAATGGGTGAACAAATGTTATATGACTGCTGCCCCGGTACCTAGCAAAACATCTGCTCCGTGGTATGGTCATTGTTCTCTGCCCTAAAGCATGCACCCATTGTATGGCAAAGATCTAACTAAGAACAGCGGAAAGCCCTCTGAGGTTGTCTTTTGCCTCAAGCAGCTGCTGTGTCACTGATGTCCAGCATGCCCACACTTGGCTGGCATTGTTTATGGGGCTCCCAGGAAGTACCTGGACAACTTCCATTCTAACACTGTGAGTGCAGACGGCAGGGGACCTGCGTTTATTGGGACCCTGACATAGTTTCAGCACAATTTCAACTACACAGACAGAAGGGAATCAACCTACTCGCTCTTTGGACTGGGAAGTGGGCACTGTAGAATGGGAGAGGTTGGGCAAGGTTATGTGGGGAGGAACTGCTGCAGCCAGAGGGACTCCCTCCTGGCCAATCTGGAAGCTTACGCTGTTTCTGGGTGCAGTGCTGCCTGTTCCTGGGAGCAGGTGAGACTCAGAGGAGTCTCCTGTGCAGGCAGGGCAGGCATCTCATGCTTCTTCTTTTCTATTTGTTGTTTGGGGCAGGGTGTTGGTACTTCTTCACCTCCATCACCTCTGGAAACCAACTCAGGTGAAATCTACTTTGTAGAGCTGGTTAAAGAAGATGGGACCCTTGGATTCAGCGTGACGGTAAGTGTTAGTGGGGCTTGGAAAACAATTAAAGAACTGTCCATCTGGAGCCTTGGTGGGCTTTCCACCTTGATAATGTGTGCATTGTGTGTAAGTGGCATGTGGAAAGTGGGTGAGCCAAGAAGGTGCATCGGAGCTACCTGTGGGGAACAAGAGTTCAAAGACAGACTGAGAAACACAGGGCAACTTGAGGTTAAGGCAGGGGCAGACACTCAGGAGCTCCAACCATGGGAGGAGGCAATGTGGGTAGAAGTGGAGGACATGTCCTTATTCTGATGGTAAGGTGGAGTACAGTGAGAAGATGGAGCTTCAAGTCACAGCCAAAGTCAAGAGGGGTTGTCCACTGTCATCCCAAGTGGATCATGGAGAAGCCTTGTATTTGGTCCTCCAAGTGGATCATGGAGAAGCCTTGTATTTGGTCCTCCAAGGGCAAGGACAAAGTTCAGTGTGTAAGACCTCTGTCCAGATTGACACTTTGCATTTGGCTTCTGAGCTTTACCCGGCAGACCCCTGATGAGGGAGGTGACCCATGTAACTGAGATCGCCCAAAGATTTGGAGAATGGAGCACACAAAGGTGGTGAGAGTTCAGAGCCACAGGTTGGAGGGTGCTTCTCTTATTCCCAAATGCTGAAACTGTTACCTTGAGATCCTGCAAAATATCTGGATTTCAGGAATGTCATTGTTGCATTTAATTGTTGATTGAAAAGAGAATGGAATTTTCCACCAGGTAAGGAAATGGTATGACCAGTGGAGACTTCTAGAGGTAATGTAAGAGATGGTGGGCGTGCTTTGCTTTCCTACATAATGCTGTACATCTCGATAGAACAAGGATCCTGGGCTGTTGGACCACCCACAGGCCATCAGCTTGTCAGTCAGTGTTTTTTTTTTTTTTTTCCGGTACCGGAGATTGAACTCATGACCTTGTGCTTGCCGTTCAGGCACTGTGCCGCTGAGCTAAATCCCCAGCCCCGTCAGTCAGTGATTTTAAGAGAACAAGTAAGACCCCAAGAAATAAGGCTTGTGGGTCCGCAGAGAATGAGCAGGCTGGTATCAAGGACCACCAATTTATACTTGACCTGAGGTAACAATCCTAACAGACATCAAATGTAGCTATTTCTCATCTGAAACACTTGCTAAAGTTTAGATTATATATGCATATGCATATGCTAAAAAGTTGGTGATTTCCTTTGGCTGGCAAAAAAATCTTAGATTTTCTTTGTAGAAATTTAATTTCAGAAATAATTATGAAGTGTCTTGCCCAAATCCAAATAGCCATCAAGCAAATGAAAAACACTCAAACTTATGAGAAGCCATGGGAATATAAATTAAATTAAAATGAAACTTTATAACTATCAGCTTAGCCAAATATAGCTGATGAGATGCAGAAAAAAAAGGACTGTTGTACAAATCTGTTAGAAATGTGAATAATTATGTGCACATTCACATTGGGATACAATCTGGCAACATATATTATAATGAAAATGTACATATCTTTGAGTCCATAGAAATAGAAACAAGATTCCCAGTGTACATGGAAAGCTATACATGTAAGATGTTTAATGCACTGTTGCTTGTAGTGATAAAAATACTGAGGAAAAATGACTAGGACCAACTGAGGAAAGGCTGCATGTGCTAAGGCTCGTGTATACACAGACACCAAGCTGCTGCCATTAAAATGAATGGGCACTTGGTCCAGCCACATGGAAAGACTTTCATGACACACACACCAAGCAAGCAAGAGAGAAGTGGACAACGTGGCTAGGAGGCCTCTTTCTGTGCAACAGGTAACCTAGGCGAGAGTGTATACATTTCTGTGCTTGTCAGTGAGAAACCAATGACCCCAACTAGTGGTTTGAAATGAAGCTGTGCAACTGGGAAGGGAGAACTGTATCACCCTCCTGCAAGCCTCTCTAAACAGCAGCTGCAGGAGCTAGACAGAAAGAGGGCAGAAAAGGCAGAAGGCCACTGGTAGGCAAGACTGAGAGTTCTGGTCTGCAGCTGCTCAAGAGGGGGATTGGAAGCCCTTGTGTGATGATTGATTGCCTTGTGGTTTTACAGTAGCGATACTGGAAGTCTAGTTCCAAAGTAGTCTTGGATTCATTGAAAAACTGTTTAACCAGGTCTCAGAGTCTGGGTTAGTCAGCTTCCTGTTACTATAACAAGTGCCTGAGACAATCAACTTGTAAACAGAAAAGGTAATTGTGGCCCAGAGTTTTAGAAGTTTCAGCCTATGATTGGTTTGCTCTATGTTTTGGGTGGTGGGAAAGGCAGCACATCAGAAGTGAGTGAGATAGGAGAGGAAGTGGGCTCCCACAATCCCCTTTGAGAGCACATCTCCAAAGATCTTAAGACCTCCCCACATCTAAAGGTTTGGCCACCTCCCCAAATCATCCATGCTAGGGACCAAGCCTTATCATGGGACCTTTGGGGACATTTCAGATGCAAACTATGGCAGGGTTGTTCTGATGCCTGGTGTGGGCCTGGTGTGTGTCCATCATGAAGCTTAGGCAGACTTTTATTAAATCATTTCTATATGATTGTGTGAGCATGGAAAGAAGTTAAAAGAAAAAATTAAGATGTGTTACATACACGTACTAACTTCTCACAACGAATGTAATCATGGACTGCAAATATGTACTAATAAAAAGAAGAGTGTAGATACTAGATGCCCAGCTATTACCATTTACTAATGTGTTATCCCCTATCATGGGATTGGAATGGGGGCACAGGAAATGAGTAAAGAGGAAGACATTCAAAAACTGTGCAAGAAGGCTGGAATACCATTAATAAAACATCTGTCTATCTGTATGTCTACATGTGAAAAGTAAATTAGAAGAAAAAAATAGAGTTAACTCTTGGTCTTTTGCTCTGTAGGGTGTTCATGATCTATTGCTCAGTTAAAAACAGTAAGTTGCAAATGCTGTGTAGTTTAATTCTGCTGTTGTATCCACCAACAAGCCCATGTGCACACAAATGTGCCAAGCATAGGCTTCAGGCCCATTGCAAATCTGCCTCTGTTGGTTGCTACAAGAAGAAATTTGGTACATCCTGTGTGACTCTACTTACCAAGCACTTGCCATGTACCAGTGCTTGGCTGGGGGTGTGGCTGGGCTTCCTTGTCACCTGTATAGTTATGTTCTGTGCAAACACCTAACTTTATTGCTTGGTGGTGAGTGCGGTCTACACAGGCCAATACAGAGGACAGTATTGGGTGAGATGGGCAAAGGGAGAGATGGGTACCCAAACCCCTGATGAGGGTATCAGTCTAACCCACCCAGCAATGTGACACATGGATGCAAAAGAAAGACAAAGGGAGAATTCTGCAGTTGAGCAGCTCTCGGATGACTCAATGTTCTCTCTGGAACAAAAGGCCTTGTCTCCAAAAGCTCACGGCTTTTTTGGTATCAATCAGGAAGGTGGGTGGGGGTCCCTGCATAGTGCATAGGGAAAGAAACTTTGTAGCAGTACCAGGCACAGAGGACTCCCATTAGCAAGGCACAGATAGTTTTGATGTATGCAAGGCTGGCATCTTTACTGCCAGGAACATTTGTTTCAGTATAGCCAGCTCTATATGTCTCAGTAAATAAGGTGAAGGAGAGGTCAGGGACAGTTATGGCCAGGGCTTTGTTTCTTAGGAGAGAGGAGCATGGTGATCTCCCACAGATGGGGGCTGGAGGGGCTCCCTTTGTTAGGGAGTTTAGGGAGGTTGGGGTGATGGGTGATGAGCTTTCCTTGGTGTCTTTCAGGGTGGTGTCAACACAAGCGTGCTCCACGGAGGAATCTATGTGAAATCCATCATCCCTGGAGGCCCAGCTGCCAAGGAAGGGCAGATCCAGCAGGGTGAGGGATGGGGTTGTGCCAGGAGCTCTGCGCTTTGTGGCATAAGACCCTTTGGGTCAGGTGGGGAGCCTTGGGCCCCACCCCCACCTGCACTGGGACCCCTTGCAAACCATTGCCAGAGCCTTCTTTCTTCTCCCAGAGGGGAACCTTTCACCTTCCTGCTCCCACTGATACATTCGAGGGGTCTACGGTTTGGCGTGGCAAATTGGGACACACAGACAAAGTGATATAAAATAGATCTATAGGCAGGTTACTGCTGGCCTTCATGGGAGAGTGCTGTCTCCCTTAGAGGACAGAGCTGGCCCTGGCCCCCAACCCTGCAGCTGCTTTAGTATTGGAGGGGATACAGTAACCTCCTTGCTACCCTGCCTCATGTCTCACTGCTCTGAAGGAAAAGAGGGATTTTTTAATTGTTCTCCAAAACTGCCAGAAACAACCCAAAAGAGGCACCTCAAGTCTCATTATCTAGTCTG